CAAAGAAGAACGAAAGCGACAAGACAAAGAAGACGAAGGCGAAAACGAAGAAGACGGCCAAGAAGTCGAGCGGCAACAAGGCCAAGGAGATCGGCGGCTGTGGCAAGAACTCCGACCACGACGACGTCGAACCCGCGCCAGAGGTGTCCTAACCAGACCTCTGTGTGCGCTTACACAGAAGACCCCCAAGACGAAGGCGATGCCTTCCCCACACAAACAGCAGCAGTGGCCACATAACCTGTCAATGTATCAAAATAATAACTTGCACGACAGCTGTCCATTCGTTTTTCCAACGCGTCCATGGCCGGCTGGGAGCTCCAGCGCCGGGCTGACAGAGCGCGCCAAAAGGGGCGTGTGGCAGACGGGAGGAGCTCAAGCCCAGGCCTCCAAGTACTCCTACGACCTCAGCCCTCGGTACTGCGTGGACGCGACGGAGCAGGGCAACATCGCTGGTCGGCCACAGTTGCGCCCCCAACTGCGCGGCGGTGCTCCACTGCTACGGCTACGACCAAGTGGCCTTCGTTCTCCTGCCTGGCCACTGGCTGCGCCCGGGAGTCGAGGTGGTTATCAACTCGGGTCGCACTGGGGATCAGCTGGCTCCGAACGGTTGAGGCCCGCCAAGCGCTCTTCCTCCCACCGGCAACGACACAAATCGCTCGCCAACGGCATCGATCTCTCACGCGCCACACCGAAGGAAACCGAGGAGGAGCGCGCCCAGCGCCTCTCGAGCGTCTCCCCAAAAGCGGCCAGAGTCCAAGTGCAATGCCAGAAGTTATCGTCATCGACGATTGAACAATAGACCCCAAACAGCTACACCAGCTTTGGTTTATGATGACGTCACCAAAGTCCATATCACATTTGATTGACGGGTCCCGTATGAGTGATGTGGTGTACATTTACTCGCTGTCGCCGTTGGCGGCTGGGGCGGGGGCGGGGGCGGGGGCGGGGGGAGCAGTGAGGGCGGCTTGTAGCTGGTCGTAGAGAACGAGGATCATGGCGCCGATAATGGCGCGCACGATGTTGGACAGGGCGCCACGGAAGAAGCCCGCCACGCCCTCCTCGCGCCAGATCGTCAGCGTGCACTCGAGCGCGCTGCTGTAGGCCATCGGGGTCGCTCCCGCGATCATCATTCGCCTCCTGTGTGGTCGATAAAGTGTTGTGTATTTAAAATATCAGCATTATTATTCCACTGATCGTATATTATTATTATTAATTGTGAATTAAATAACAAATAACAAATAAAGGACGTGCGAGTCGTACCGGATGGTGTCGAGTGGGTAAGTCGCCAGGCCGGCAGCGATGGTCACGCCCCAGCCCACCAGGAAGGAGGCCAGGAAGTTGTTCTGCGGCACCAACGGCCTGAGCGTGTCATAGAGGCCGAAGTAGGCGCCGCGGTAGAGCACGATGCCGGCGACGCTCACGCCGAAGCCGTTGAAGAGGCCCAGCGGCCCGCTGTGCTGAAAGGTCTTGCTGATCACGTCGGCCATGCCCGTATACTGGTAGGTCGTGCGTCCGAGCTCCGGCGCGAGCACGTCGGCAGCGAGCACCGTGGTGGCCAGCTGCAGCGGCGTCACAATCAGCAGCGACGTGGCGCCCGCCAGACCCCCGGACATTATGTTGCCTTCAGATCGCGTACAACATACGCGTGAGTTGCAGACAACACACAGCGCACACAACACGCGCAGCACACGCACAGCACACAACACTCGCAAGCATGCAGGTGCAGGTGCGGCGTACCGAAAAACCACAGGCCGTAGCCGTGCTGTCGGCGGTCGAAGGGGAAGAGTTTCTTGAAGGAATCCTTGAGCGCGAAGTTGAGGGCCTGCGTGGGGAAGTAGCTGATGACGTCGTACATCGCGCCGCGCCACAGGCTCAGCGGACCTTCGGCGCGCACGGTGCGGGCCAGCGCGTCGGCCAGGCCGCCGTAGGGCCTGCCCAGGCGGCCCTGTCGCAGCAGCTCGCCCTGGGCCTGGTGAACGATCTTGGCTCGGTTGACTGGACCGGCACCCAGCTTGGAAACCGCGGCTGACAGGCCGCCCAGCAGGAAGTCCATCCAAAACGACATATTCGTTGGTTCTAAAATAGCAGCAGAATGGCAAAGATTAATCATCAAAATCACGCACAAATAACTTCAATTCTTACAGAGGCTCTGGTGGTGGCGAGACGCACATCTTTTAGAGTAAGGTGGTAAAGTTACAGGATTGTCAAAGGATCGTTCGCGAACTTAGCGAAGCGCAGCGGCCGTTGGTGTAAATGCCAAGAATCCAGTTTCCTCTTTTTTCACAGTTTCTGGCTGTTGCTTTTATTTTATATTTTGTTATTTTTATAAAACAAATTCACAGGCGGGCACGACGATCATTCACAGGCGGGCACGACGATCACTCTTCCTTCCTACACGGCCGGCTCTTCTTCCTTCTCCTCCTCGTCAGCGACGACCACCTCTTCGCCTCTCGCTGCCCGCAGCTGCGGGGGCGCCCACGCTCGATCCAGGTATTCGCTTCTACAACACCAACAGCACCCGTTAGCACACCACATCGACACACCACAACCACACACATGGGCCATTCGAGGGTACGTACCGGGAGGAGTTGAGAAAGATACGCCCGTACACGGGATAGCCGCCTCGGCCGCGCTCGTCGACGGCCTCGCAGCCCTGCATGGCCAGCAGCTCGATGCTCTCCACCACCTGGCGACCGAAGCGGCGTCCCTCGTCCAGCACCTCGTGGTCACTCCTCTTCCGACCTCCGCCTCCCCTCCCTGCGCCACCCTGCCATCCGCCTCTCCCCCTGCCTCTTCCTCTGTTCGCCCTTTCGCCGCCGCTTGCGTTCGCCTTGCTCGCATTGTTGTCGTTGCTGTCGTTGCTCGCGCTGCTGTCGTTGTCTTGGTGTGGCCTTCCCTGGTAGATGATGACTTCGCCTTCGACACAGTCTTGCTCCTGCTCTGGGCGCTGCTGCGGTGTCGTAGTCGGCTCGACGACGGGCTGCGGCGGGCGTAGGATGCGGAGGACGCGGGCTCCCGGTGAGCTGCCGTGGCCGCCGCTGCCTCCTTGGCCCCGGCCGAAGCTGCGCACCTTGAGGAGGGTGGCGTGCGGTGTGAAGGGCGTCCACTTGATCGACTGAAGCAGGGACGGCTCGTGCTGCACAAACCAGCTGTGCAAATCGCCTGTGTCGGTGTGTGCGAGATGCATGCACAAGTGTGCGATGAGTGCGACGCGTCGTTGTTGTTGTTGGGAGTGTCGAGAAGGCGAGGGTACGAGCAAGCCGTTCGAGTGGGGCAGGGTCCTGGATGCCGGCCCACAGCACAAACTGTCCTCGGCCTTTGTTGAAGCAACGAACACTCTCCACCTTCATCTCAAACTGTGTGCACCAACGCGAGGCTGAGTCAGCACACACAAGAACAAGACGAGACTGGAGACTTGGCGCCACGCACAGAGGAGATGTCGGCCGCAGGGCGGGAACGAAGGTCGGCAGCCCACGCGGTGCAGAGAGCCTGGGTGCGTGCGACGAGGTCGGGCGTGGGGGCGCACACCACGAACAGGGTGACGTGCAGCTTGTTGCGCACGTCGATCATGTAGCGCCCCAGCCCCCTCTTGCTATTGTCTCCGGCACCACTGCTGGCAGTGGTGCTTGTGGCTACTCGGTCCTGATCTTCATCTTTCTGCGCACCATCGTTCGATTGAGTGCTGGGATTGGTGGTGGCGTAGGTCGTGGGCCACAGCCGGGCCTCTTCGTCCATGAGGTGCTGCTGCAGCGTCTTCGCGTTGTCCACGACATCCTCATCGTCGATTCGCGCGGCAAAGAAGAAATTGGGTGGCGGTGGCCTCCTCGCTGCTTCTCCTCCTCTGCCGCGACCAGCCCCTCTGGCCGCTCTGCCGTCTTCTTCTTCTGCCGAGGATGATCTCGCTCTCTTCGGTGCCGGCTGCGGCAGAGCCCCGCGCAGGCTCGCGTAGTAGACGACGCGGTTGTAGGCTGGATCTACGGACTCTGCCCAACCGCTGTCGTTGGGATTGGACACAGATGCATCTTCCCGACTATCCTCTTCCATCTCTTTCGATCTCTGCCTCTTCCTCATGCAATCCTGCTGGTCGTGAGTGAAAGAACGCGCCTGCACGACTGCGCCAACGTTCCTCTCTGCCCTCGCGAAATGTCGGCACAGACGCGTCCACTGCTGTCTTCTCATCTTTCTCACCTCTCGCAAGAACTGACGCGAAGGCAAAGAAGAGAACTGGCCAGCGGTGACGAGTGTCAGTCACTTACTTCTCAACTACGAAGATGATGGTGAGGGAGCTGCTATGAAAAGAATCGATTGTACATTTGACAAACAGCAGTATTATACTGCAAGCTTGCCTTGACTCGCGTACACAGGCACACGGCGAGGCCGCAAAGGCGGACAACAGGAGATTGGTCCTGCCCCCTTCGCGTCCTCTCTACAAAACATGCCTTCTCCCTCTCTCTGCGTAGGTTCCCCCTTGTCGCGATGATGTTGATGACGATGGCGGTAGGCCGCAGGCTTACTGCTCACCCTCCTCCTGCTCGGCGTTGTAGGCAAGGATGGCCTCGATGATCTGCTTCTTGTTGCCGGTGGCGGTGATGCCCTCGTCCGAGCAGTACTTCTTGAGCTTGGCGAGGTCGTAGTTGTTGAGGTTGTCGAGATCGAGTTCCTCCTCGGCTTCTTCGGCGTCGGCCTTGGCCTCCGCCTCCTCCTTCTTGGCGGCAGCGGCGGCCTCCTTCTTGGCGGCGGCGGTCTCCTTCTTGGTGGGCTTGGCAGCCTTCTCGCCCTCGTCGCCCGACTTCTTAGTAGAGCCCTTCTTCTTGGACTTCTCCTT